AGAGAGACAAACAGACCCTAGCCAGTCTTGACCACTTACCTCCATCCGGGATAATAAGGTCTGAATATCCCTAATCATGTGCTGAGCCATCACCAGTCGTACTCGGGGCTCACTCTACAATAACAGAAGAAATATGAAGGCAAGTTTGAGATGAAGCCATGAGCTCCACAGCCTACTGAACCAATCCCCATCTCCTCAGTCAGGTCCAACCCCACCTCATGGCCTCCTTCTCCCAGATCCCCTTCCCTGACCCTCCCAGGCCCCGTGATACCTGAATCGGGGCCTGTTCCATGTTGATGTGAACATCCACAGCAGAGCCGTCACTCTGGGGAAAGGGTAAGGGAAGTTGCTCTGGGAGAAGCCAGATACTAAGGCCCCCACACTTCCAACTCATCTTCTAGAGCTCCACCCCTTTTCTCCTCAAGACTGAGGCTACTAGCAGATCACAGGGCCTTCCAACCCCAATCTAAAGACTGAGACACCTGTCTTACAAGGTTTCTGCTGCTACCACAACCAAACTGCCCTTCCCCACAAAAACCATCCCATGTGGAACACAAGCTTACAGGAAGATTGAAGGTTCCAACCATGACATAGCTGTTGGCATTCCGGTCATGAACAGATGCCCCAGGCCCCCGAGTACCAGGTGGGGGTCCCCCACCATGGGTGGCTGAGGCAGACCCTGTCCCAGAAGATGCCCCAGAAGGAAGCTGAGTATGAGGAGGAGCACGTTCCACCAGGTGGATAACCTTTCCCCCAACATCTGCAACGACAAAAAAATACACCAAAACATTGTATGATCAGGTAAACCCAGTCTCAGCTCATCCCTCTGGACAGCTACCTCAACCTCCGAACTGCCTCTTCCACTCCCTTACTGTATTCCTGGAGCTTCTTATCATCCTGCAGAACTCGTCCCTGGTAGATGAGCCGCTGTTTCTCAGAAGGGATGCTGACAGAGGCAGCAATGTGCTCCTTAAACTCCTTAACATTCATCTACAAAGAAGAAGAAACACAAACAGATATCAAGGAATAGAGAAAAGGGAATAGAAAAGGGACAAGTGACTTGTGTAGCTGAAGTGTAAAAACCATCTCATCATAAAATTACTGCCTTGATTGTGAGATAATTATTGTGCAAAGCCCCAAACGAAAGCAAATCCAGTCAAAATATAGATGATAAACATAATGAAGTTCAGTTTCTAGGCCTAGGACAAAGATCTATGGCTGAGAAACACAAAAGTCAACTAACATTTTCTTCACTCCTCTGCCTGGCTCCCAAGGGAATGTTTTTCTAAAGATACCAGTGACCCCGCCCCAAACACAAAATGAAACAATTCTAATCTCAAAGATAACAGCAAGGACAAGGAAGATGGGGTGGACAATCAGGTTAAGGAAGACTCAAAGAAGATGAGAGAAGGGAGCAAAAAAGAAAAACATTTTTCTTATCTAGATGATTGGCTCTTGGATATTAGCAGGTTTTTTTACATACATCTAATCACAAAAACCTACGTGTTTCTGAAATCCACATAATACTATGTTTTAAAAACCATGAACCCCTCATGATTTTGTCTCCAAGTGTTACATGAATAATAATATCGATAGCTGAGTCCACATTAAGCTAAAAACATTCAAATTATACCACAAATGTTAATAACTCCACTCAACAGTACATTAGTGCTCCACCTCCATTACTGGCTGATTTCTCATGCTTAAACACACAATACAGACATGATCAATTTTTGTTTTTAAGACACATTGGTGTTTGGGGTCTGTGTGTTCTATTTCTCTTCCCCAAAACAGAAGCCATGTCTGTCCCTTTGGGCTGCGGTTCACTCATGATAACAGCATACAGATTCCTCCTTCCTTCGTATTTCCCTCTGCATTGAGTTCTATAGAGGTGGAGGAAGGCAGAACAAAATCTACCTCATTCAAAAGAAACCATACCTACTCAAGTCAACAAAAAATATCAAAAAACGTTCTGTCTAGAATATGAACAAAGAAATCAATGAAAGAAAAGTTGAGAACCAGGTTGTTCTCTAAGGCTAAGGGGCCTACAAAAGAAAAAAAAAAAAAGGGAAGAAAAGAATTAATGGATGTCTTCCAGAAGCACTGGGGTCTCACCTGGGCCCCCACAATAAAGGTCCGAGTCTGAGAGTCCAGGGTCTTCACCAGCACCTCCAGGCTGTCAGGCTTCTCCATAGTGCTACTGGCACTATTATTGGGCTCCATGGCCTACAACTCTCTGAAGAAGAATGGAGGGAGAGAGGGCCCGCTGTAGCCCAGAGCTGATTTTACATACCCAGGAACCTCCCCGGCCTGAGTCTCCGCCCCCATACCTAAAGAGTTTCTCCTACACAAGCACATACACACACACCCGCCCCCATCCCCCTTCTGATTCCGGGCCACAGAAAAAAGAAACACAAAGGGTAGAAGACGAACGGCACAGTGAGCTGGGAGACGGGAGGTGGGAGGGGCTCCACGATGCCAATCACAATAAGGGAGAGCCAGTCTGACTAGGAAGCAGGGAAGGAAGAAAGCACGAGGCCAGTGTCATCACCGGTCGCGACAGAAGGGCTCCAGAGGTCGGTACACCCTGGAACAACGCGAGAGCAGGGTGGGGAGGGTCGCGCTAGACTCTGTGGACAAAGTGGTTTCGCGCACGCGCGCCACGCCCACTGTGCCCAAGTCACGACAGACCCGAGATGACGGACACTCACGGGGGGCCAGACTGGCTAGCTGACTACCCCCCTCTTCTGCCTTCTTCGGTGCTCCAGCAAAGCGTCGCAACCAAACACACCTAATACACCACCACACCGCGGCTCCGCCCCCGACTTCCCCACGGTACCGTCACTTCCGGTCTCCAACCTGCCACCGACGACCACTTCCGTTTCCTCGACAGTATGTGGAGATCACGAGGAACTTCCGGCTCCCTCCAGGTTCCAAGCTTTACTTTCGTGGGGCACTAGAAAGTCTGCGGCCCCAAGCAGTGAGTTCCTACGGGCGAGAGGGGCCGGGGCCGGCCTAGGTGGGAGAGAGCCGAGCACCCGGGGAGCCGCCGCCGCCGCCGCCGCCGTCGCCCGGGGGACTGTGCTGCGCTTGCGTGCGTCGTACTACGCATGCGTACACATTTAAGCACCGCCCCACCTCCCTGGTGCTGTTAATACCTCCTGTGCGCGCGCTTGAGTAATGGGAGATTGAGGTGGCCACTATAAATGCCTGAAAAAAAATTACCAAACGAGACTACGACTGCCTCAACAGGTTTTGGACGGTCGTATGGATCTTGGCGTTTGGGGATTGGAGGTTGTGCCTTGTTAATCTATGTTAGTCTTCGCTGGTAGAGACTTTGAGACGGCACTGTCTTAGCCACCTAAAATCCCGTCTTCCTCTCACGCAGCGCCACTCCTCTGGCTCCTCCTGAAGTCACTCTTGTCTTAGGCGGTTGGGGGTGGTTCGCGAGCTGTCTTGCGTGTGGTCGGTCGCGTTGTTAGGCCTGACCTTAGTTCTGCCCGGTGGGCATTTTGCAGAGTCTGGGCGCCATGTTCCTCGCCAGTGGAACACGCCATATTCTGGAGAAGCTAAGGATTTACTCTTTCAGGACTATTATCAAAAAAAAGAAAAAAGGACCCCCCCAAGTTTAGAAATTGGAAGCAAATGAAGTCAGACTAGAGGGAAACATAAGACCTTTACCCTGGGGAATTGAAGGAACCGCCGAAATGCTTCTGCAGGCCAGGATTCAGGGGGTTACTGCCTCTCTGCCCTCTTCTCCCACCTCCGCCCGCGAGCATAGGCCTCGGCACCTGTAGTGCAGTCACTCTTCCAGCCAGACCCATCGCTGCTGGGGTGGCTGCCTCGTGCCCAGCCTTTCTGGGATTCGTACTGTTTTAGTTAAGAATTCTAATAGACCTCTGTTTAGTGAGCACTTGGTTTGTGCCAGCCAATTTTCTAAGGGTTTTATGTACTGTCACATTTAAAAGCTTTTCGACATCTGAGGTAGTTACTACATTTTATATAGCGAGTACACCTAGCGAACATATATGGCAGAACTGACAAATCCAGACCTACCAAATTCCTTTGGGTCAAGCACTTCTACTTAACTGTCCCAATAAATTGTTTTTTTATTATAAAAAAATGTCAAACTACCCCCAAATATAATATAATGAACACTCATATATCCTAAATCATAACTCTCGCCTCTCAGGACAATTATTTTTTGAGCAGTCTAAGTTACAAATCTAGTAAGGAAGCCCCACTTTCATTGCATTAACTGCTCAACCCACTTAGCATTATCCAATGACTGACTCTTGACAATTCTTTCCTTAACTCCTATTATTTGAGAACTTAGTACCCACCGTAAACTAATATATGCTTTACAAACATTACTATTAATTTTAGTGACTGTTTACTTTGGACTTGCCATGTCCATGCCTTTACTAAGGGCTTTATATTCATTGTCTCTTAATCCCATGGGATTGATGATTTGCTCATTTTACAGATGAAAAAAAGTCATAGAGATTAATAAAATTGTCCAAGGTCTAATGAGTAGTAGAGGTAGAGTTTGAACCCACTCTGCCTGACATGAAAGTCTATCCTCTGTAACCAGTGGATTATGTAGCCTCTTATTTGTAGTAATAAACTTTGAGTGAACTCATCTGTCAGTGAACTTTTCTGGATGGTGTACATATTGTTTCCCCAATTATAAACTTCGGAAAGAAAGCCTTCCATCAACCATGCCCCAGCACTTGATTCATATCTGTTCTAAATCACTTACCAAGTTGTATTGCAATGATTTGTTTACACAGCTAATTTTCCTTAGACTGACTTCTTCAAGGCCAGGGATTGTCTTACTCATTTTTATGCTCCCAGGGCTAAGGCAGTTCCTGGCAAACAGTTGGGACTCAAAAGTTTGCTAAGTGAATGAATGAATCAAGCAACCTCTCTTCAGTGCTGTACAACAGAGCAGATATCCAGCCCAGATATGGGTTGAAAGACCTCAGGCTTCTACCTGGAGGGCTCAGCTCTCATAATTCCCAAGAGACCCTGGACATGCCAGGGTGTATTGTGGAGTGGTTGCATCTAGAAGAGCGGGAGGAAAGGCCAAACATTGCAAGTAATCCGTGCTTGGAAAACAAGGTCGAAGTTACTCATTAGCAGGTAAAAGGGTCAAGGGTCGAGGCAAGGGGGCTGGAAGCAGAGTGGACTGAGCAGCCAGCAGAGGAGAGAACAGCTAAGGTACCAACCGCTCCACACAGAGCACCAGCTCCCTCTTGCCTGAAGATGTTCGACCAAATTTGGGCAACTCTACTTTACCTCTACAGCATTCTTCTTAACTCCATCTACCAGTGCCCTGAGTATAGTCAACTGACAACTCAGGGAGTGGATGGGAAAGAGGTATGGACTGAGAATGGGGTAAGCTTATAGTAGGGGCTATGAGGGACCTAAGTGGTGGCCTAGGATAACTGGAAGCCACATTGGGAAAGGGAAGAAGAGGGTGTGTGTTATGATCATGGAAGCAAGGACAAGTAAAGAAATATTAGTACCATGGCCATCAGTGTGGAGACATGGTAGAATTTGTGGGGACAGGGGTTGGTTACTCAGGTTGATTGAGGGCAAGCAAAGAGGCAAAATCATTTAACGACTCCCCAGTTGAAAAAGGGCAGCCAACACCTCCACCCCTAAATCTTGCCATTCTGAAGAGAGTGGATGGAAACTGTAGTGGGACCCACCCTCTTCTGCTCCCACTGTTGTCTCTCTAGTTCCCAGAGCCCCACCTGGGTTGGTGGTACTTTATCGCAGGGGCAGCTCCCACCAAGGAGGAGTTGGCGACTTTTGACCTTGTGGACAACATTGTCTTCAACATGGCTGCAGGCTCTGCCCCCATGCAGCTCCAGCTTCACGCTACTATCCGCACGTGAGTGGTGAGAAGACAGTGGCACCAGTAGGTAGAGTCTCTGCCCAGAGTGTGAGCACCCACATACAAAGAGCTGGACTTTTTGGCATATCCACTGTTCTCAGCCTACTGAGTTCAACAGCTCTAAGAGTTTCCCTCTGGAAAGACTGGCCTAACCATTCCCTTGGTAGCTTGAAACCCAGCGGGACATGGGCTTCAAGAAGGAATTAGAGGGAATAAAGGTTGGTACTGTGTGGTTGGAGTATCACTCGGTCTTTCCTACCTGCCACCACCACCTCTGTAGGAAAAATGGGTCCTGTGTGCCCCGGGAATGGATCTACCACCTAACTGAGGGGAGCACAGATCTCAGAACTGAAGGTTGGTTCTCTCCGGCCCTCACTCTCCCCAAGTTCCCTGGGCCTGCTTGGTTTTGCCTCTGTCCTCACACTTCCCCCAACCAACCCTGACAGGACGCCCGGACATGAAGACCAAGCTCTTCTCCAGTTCATGCCCAGGTGGAATCATGCTGAAAGAGACAGGCCAGGGTTACCAGCGATTCCTCCTGTACAGTGAGTGGGGAGGCCGGGCAAGATGGGTTGGAAGGAAACATGGGAGGGGCAGGAGAGCCCCTCACTCTGAGCCCTGTGCCACCACCCCAGGAAGGGCTGGGTGCTTCTAGAAGGTCCTCACCAGGGGCTGTGCTGAGAAGCAGAGGCTTTGATGGGCCTGATCCTGCTCTGCCCTTCCAGATCGCTTGCCACACCCTCCTGAGAAGTGTGTAGAGGCATTCCAGTCCCTGACCTCCTCCTGCCTGGACTCCAAGGCCTTCTTACTGACTCCCAGGAAACAAGGTGAGGGGTTAAAGTCCCACAAAAGAGGACTAGGACTCACCAAGTCTTCTTTGGGTGCTAGATGAAAGGGACTCGTGGTGTCACCAGAGGGCAAGGCCAGAGGCCCATCAGAGTGGCTGTATTGACACCTTCATTTGTGTCAGGTTGTGATGGCCCAGAGGGAGCCAGGATGGAATGTGGGCCACTCAAAAGAGAGGTTTCTGAGTATACAGTGGCTAAAGAGGGCAGAGGGTCAGACATGGAGAGAAACAGGCCTCAGAGACATCTGCTTTGACATGAAAATGAGAAAATACATTCTCCCCCAACCATTACCAGCAACTTTGCTTCTCTCTCTGGATTTCCTTCCTTTCCATCCTCTTCTCTCCTCCCACCAGAGGCCTGCAAGTGGTCCAGTAACTGACCTGAGGCTTCATCTGTACCCCTAACTGGATGTGGTAGGAGCTAAGATTGTGGTGGGAGAGAAGCTGGAGTCTTCCTTTCAAGAGTAATAAAGATTTTTCAATCTTCATTTCATGTTGGGGTTTGTCTCCAGACATCAGTCCCATTCCCCCCCGCCCATTTCAAAACTCCCCCAAACCTTCTACCACTGAGTGGCAGTAACTCTCACTTTGTAGTGGTGTATTTAGGATTTTGTGTGACAGTGATTTATTGCTGAGTGAGCAACCCCAAACTCTTATGTGGGGACTACAAGCTCCAGTGCTTCCCACACTGCCTATGTGGGCTGCCAGCCCGAGCTGGCCCTCCTGCCAAACTGCCTGCATCATCCCCACTCCCTCTGGCTCCCAGGAATACCCAGATCTTCCCTGCAGGGTCCCTGTCACTTGCGCACCCCAACCAGACCCCAAATCCACCTGCCTAGCAGCCCCTCTCTTCCCTAGATGGCTCAGGTCCCAGGATCAAAGGGATCCCTTAAGTTTCCCAACCATGCTTTTACCCCAACCAGAGTTCTGTCGGTCCCTGGGGAGTCTTGAAAGGTAAAGAAAACCCTTTAGTCTTTATTCTCCACTACTTTTTTTTTTTTTTTTTTTTGCTTTTAAAAAGTGAATGTGGGGGAAAAAAAATGAGATGGAAAAAATGTAAAAGCAAAAAGTTAACAATAGCTGGTGAATTTAATGGCCATGCCCCCACTGTCCATATACCTAGACACCCTAAACAGCTGTTCTCTCTCGTAGGTGAGGGGAGCCCTGTTCCCTCATACTCTAGGATTTCTTCCCCATCCCTGAGGCCCTTGTGCTTATAATCTGGGTCATCCCCCCCCCCACCCCATTCTCCTAAAGGCCACACTGTCTTCACCTTCGCTCCTACCCTACCCTGGCTCCTGCCTTGGTTCACACCCCACTCCACAGTTACAGCCCCTTTCCTGGGTCTCCCCTCTGCTCCTCACCCTCCCTCCCCAACTTCTGGCCCTCCAAGTCAGTGGCCTCCTCATTCCCACTGGGACCTCGGAGGCTGACAGCCAGCACCATGGCCTGTAGGAGACCAAAGAGGCAGGCAAAGTGCAGGGGGTGAGCAGTAAGTAGGCTCAGCACAGCATGGAGCCCATGCAGGGCAGCCAGGAAAGACAGCAATCCATGAAGCCAGAGGCCCAGCGGTCCACTCAGGCCCAACGCGTCCAAGGCTACCCGCAGTGGCCGTGAACACAACCCCAGCAGGGCTGAGGCCAGCAGCTCCAGCAGATGCAGGGTCAAGTTGGTAGAGATCTGCAGACACTCCTCTGGGCCCCCCAGGTACTGTGAGGGAGCCCTTGCTCCCCCACCTGATTCTCTCTGCAGCCAGCCCAGCAGTTTCTGATGCCGGCCAGGCTTCTCCACAGGGGCTTCAGGCCCAGAGGGGCTCAGTCCCCTTTTAGGGGACATTCCAGGTCTCCTGCTGCCACCTGAGTCCACAGGATCCCATCCCAGTTTAGGAATGGCCCCTGCAGCCTCCAGTCTCCCAGACTCCAGAGTGCTAGAGCCAGTCTTATCTCCCTTGAGGGAATCCATTCTTTTGCTCCCCAGTTGCTCAGCTCGGGGCTCCCTGCTTGGTTGTGGAGCAACCTCAGAGCTCCTCTGGGCCGCTGAGTCCTCGGTCTTGGGAGGCCCCACATCTCCCATAGTTTCTGGGGCACTGTCCCAGTCACTCCCTGAATTCTCGGAGGAGCTGTCCACCCATCGGGGTTCTATGGTGGGCAGGTCAGGCCTCGGTTTCCGGCGGCCCCAGGGGTGAGGTAGCCAGCCACCAAGCCGTCGCAGGAACATGGTTACGGTGTGTAATGAGCCCCTAACTTCTGGGGCCACTTTCTGGCACTGCTCAAGTTTAGGGCCTGAGGGTCTCCTCAGAAGCCAGAGTGTTCAGGACTAGAAGAGCAGGTATCTGCTTGGTGAGTCCTACTATGAATTCAGAAGTGGCTCCCCACTTCCCTGGATGGTCATGCAGCCTAAAGTAGGGCAGGCAGCTTGTTTCCTTTTCAGTTTTTGAGGTAAAGAAAAGGGGCACATTCAAATTCACTCACCACCACCGCCGCAAACCCACACACAAGTTTCGAAGAGTCTCAGGATCTGACAAGGCCTGGGTCACCAGGACAGTGTCCTCCCTGGATTTCTGTCCCAGCAAGCAACACCCCAAGTTTCACTCACCAAGGCCACGCCCCAAGTTTCCCCCAAAACTGTAGAAGCGGTGCTCCGTCCAAGAAGGAAGAAAGGAAGGTTGCTCCAGGTCCGAGGTGCTCTGGATACGAGGACACCTGAATTGCTGCCCTAAGAGAGTTTGAGAATAGGAAGTCTGCTATTGGGAGTTGGGGTGAGGCGTCCAGCTAATTCCAGCCAGCAGCGTTCGTCCCTTGATTTGGAAGGCTATGAATCCTACAAAGCGGCCGGACCAGCACCCGAGCACGCAGCTGAAAAGCGGCCTAACCAAGGTCAGGCTGGAGACATCTTCGGATATCCCAGTCGCGAGGCAAAGCGCAGGCCTGGCTAGGGACCCGGGCATCTGGTCGCTGTGCGCTGCGGACCCTCCCGGGACTAGCGTCAGGGCCGAGGCCTCACGGAGCCGCCCGAAGAGAGCACGGAAGCAGCTGCACCGGGACTGGAGGGCCAGGCGGGGCGGAGCCTGCAACTCTCGGGGCGGACCCTGCGGATCGCCCTCCCCCACGGTGCGCGCCACTAGCGCGCACCCGCCTAACAACAGCGATCGCCCAGGAATGTGCGTTAACCTAGCCCTCCATTTTTGTCGCACTGAGGCCTCCGGTCCGCCAGTGCTTCCCTGAACTCGCTCGCCCCCTTTAGCCCCTTGCCTTTGGGTTCTCCCCCGCACCTTCTACCACTCGTCTTCGTGTCCATGACTTCATGAAAGGCTTTTCCAGATAAGAAAGCTATGAGAATCTTGGGACTTAAGTAGCAATTCTCTGCCCCTCCGTGCAGATTTTACTTCCTGGGTTTGACAACAGTGAGCTCTTCATTGCCTGGCACCTGGTATGAGCACCAGAGGAGGGAGAGGGGAAAATGGGAAAAACAAGTGTAGACAATTAGGATGGGCTTCCTGCCTTGTTTTCAGGTAGTTATTAAACTGTAAAGTTTAGATTTGGGATGCCAGAGTTTTAGCCCATCAGCTAACAGAGTACAGGCTGGATAATCTTAGACCGTCCCTCGCACTGGCCTCTTCCTTTAAGACCCTACCCACTCTCATAGCCCCTGTTAAGCGTTACCTGCCTTCTTCTATCACTATGCAGTGTTTGATCACAAGGTTATCTCCTCCAGCTGGGAGCAACTTTAAGGTTGAGAGTATCTTATTTCTATTCTTAGCACACTTGTGATTGAATTGGCTGGAGGGGTCAGAGGACACTTCTTGAGGGAGACTTGCATAGAGCTGGGCAATTCCTGGTTCAGAGGTTGAAAGAATAGGTGGGGCATTCTAAGTGGGAGCTAGGACCTGGCAGTGAACCAGACTGGCAGGGAGGTGACTATACCATGCCACCTGGTTGGGCTTCCCCTATTGGCACAGATGGAACCTGCATGTGGCCCCCAGACTTCCCCAGACCTTTTTGGCTTCCCACAACAGCTTTCAGAAAAATAAAACACAAGAGTGAGAAGATTGATTTATTTTTTCCACTCTTAGCCCCTCTCTCCCAAACATAGGGCCCACTGACCAAAACCTGAAAGTCTGGGACCTTGGGAGACCCCAGGAAGTAGAAGCCAAAGTGTCCAGGTCAGAGGTCCAAGTTCAGACTTCAACAGCAAACCAGGGTCAGACCTTGCCAAGGTCAGAACTCAAGGTTCATGTATGTCCTCAGTTCCCACTCCCAGGCTCTGTTTTTCTCCTGCTGCCTTCTCTCCCGCCTCCGGCTCAGTGTGGTAACCTGAGGAAGTCTTTCCCTCCCAGCCACTGCCCGGGTATCCTGAGCCAAGAAGTGTGTGACTCGGGCTTGGGGCGCTGATCTGTACCCTAATCCTTCCTGGTCTCTCTTGAGGACAGTGGGGATGGGGTTGACACGGCCCTTGCCTCGAGGTCCCAGCCCCATTCCAGGCTCCCAGCCCCCTCTCAGCAGCAGTTTGAAGCCTGGACTGGAGGTGGGCACCCCAAGGGGCATGCTGGGCATCCGGAGATCCTGGGAAAGTGACAGCAGGTGAGCAGTAGATGTACAGTGGTTAGAATCTTGGAAGTGGGCATCACAGGTCTCACAGTACTTTGGGGAGGGGGATTGGGACCTGTAGAGGAAGAAAAAGGGTTGACAGCAGGGGAGTTAGGGTTGGAGGACAGGGTGCAACAGGGTCCTTCCAATCTTTCTCCTAAGGAACAAATTCCTCCCTCCCCACTTAGCAACGAAGAACCAGAGAAAAGTTGGGAGAAGAGATGGAAACAAGGCCTCACAAGGCTCTTAGGCAAAAAAGGAATAATAATGGCTACAGCTAATATTTACATAGTGCTTACTATGTGGCACTTTTCTAACACTTTACACATATTAACCCATTTAATCCTAACAACACTCTGAGAAAGGTGCTTTTATCCCTATTTCTCAGATGAGGAAACTGAGGCACACAGATATGCAGTTGCCTGCCCAAGTAAACTAACTTAGCATTTAATCCTAGAGAGCCCATGTTTATAATCACCCTAGTACACTGCCTTCCCTATCAATCTATACAGGGATGGCAAAAGAGAACTCAACTGTGCTGGGGCCTCTGATGTGGAGTGGAAAGGAAAGGCAGAACACACTAAAAGATGGCCATGAGCAAAGTCTTCCTCTTACCGATTCTCTGGACTCCTCATCTCTCCATGGCTCTCTCTGACCATACGAGCCACCTCAGGGAAGCCTGCTTCTTCGGCCAACTGAGCAGCATCCCTGCCACCCAGCTCGCAGACTCCGACCCAGGCAGCCCCTCGGCCCAGGAGATAGCGCACAGCCGCCTCCTGGCCTGCTCGGGCAGCACACATCAGGGGTGTCCACCAGAAGGCATCCCGAACATTGATATTTCCCCCAGCTCCCCCTGCCTCATGGGGATCCAACAGCCTTCTTAGTTCTCCCAGGTCCCCCTCCTGGGCTGCCCTCAGTATCCACTGAGTCATCTTGTCCTCAGCCTCAGGTTGTCCATGTCCTCCTGATATTCTTTCTGCGGCCTCCCTCATCATTCTTCTCTTCTTCCACTTTTTCTCAGGCTCAGGCTGTGACCTCTGGGGTGCTGAGGCGCTGCTCTCATCCTCAATCAAAGCCTCATAGAAAGCTCGGGCTGCAGCTCCATCCAGGGTGGGCTCCAGCTCTTCAGACTGTGACTGCTTCTGCCCATCTTTCCAGAGGTCACTAGGTTTGGTGGCTGGGGTGAAGGTAATGAGAGAGGGCCTGGACATAGCTTTGGGAGAGCTGGGAAAGCAAGATGAGGAGAAGGGAAGATGAGACAAGCAAGCCAATCCTCTAGTGGCCCTCCAGTGACCAGAGCCACCACCAGAGACCTGCTGGGATGAGGAAAGTAGTAGCCTTAGTCAAAAAACCCCTCCTCCTCCCAGAGTGACCCCAAAACCTAGGACCCTACAGGGCCCAAGAGCAACAGATCACACGGCAAAACAGGGACCCCCTACAGTTAACAAACCATGTCCAGAAGTCCTGCTTTGCGCCCCCACCCTCAACAACAACATATAGCCTCTCTCTGAAACTACACTCTTCAAGACGTACCATTACGAAAAACAATCAGCCTGGCGCTTCAAATCTTCCTCGATCCTATTTCGGGGATCGTCTTTTCAAACAAAAATATACTTAACACATCTCCAGAAGCAGAAAACAGATTTGGGGGGAGGCTGCAGTCTGCGTTGCCTTGTAACTTCGTACTGCCAAACGGCTCTACTCTACTCTAACCGAAGTTCACATAATCAAATAGCCAAACGGCTCAAAGACGCATGCGTGGCTAGGGAAAAAAAATAATAACTTGAGGGCGCAGGCGTACAAAGCGCCCAGTTGTTTTCCCGCCTTTCCAATAGTACTCGCTCAAAGCACCACGTGCCTAGGTACCGCGCGAGGCCCGAAGAAGATCTGTCAGTTGGAGTCCTGCTTTTACATAACGCCCCACAATGCCCTTCGCTTCCCTCAACGTGGTCCCCGCTCTGAGCTCATTTTCTGGGGCTGGGAAACCACTCTCTGGGTTTAAAAAGGCCTTGAGGAGGCGGAGGGAAAACTATGGAATGCCCAGAGCTGTGAAATGAAATAACGTCACGCTGCCCCTCACCTCCAACCAGGGTTCGAAGGTCGCACTTAGTGCCCGCAGCAGAAGGCCCCATCCAAGCCCTAAAAGGAAATGGAGAAGTGCAAGGGGACGAGCAGCAGAATGGCTGGCACCACCTCAGGTTAGCGCACTGGGCCGCCCCGGTTCTCCCACCGCCCAGCTCAGCACAGCACATCCTACCCTGGTCTCTCAGCACAGAACCTAGCCTCAACTCCCGCCTCAGGGGGCCGGACCCCCGGGTGAAACATGGGGCCCGTCGGGGATCTCCAATGGTGTGCCTGGCTCGGACGAAAGGTTCGACAGGCGATAGGACCCGGCAGGTTGGCCGGGGATGAGGTCAGTCCCCTGGCCAGCAGGGGCGCGCCGGAGCCGGAGGCTCGCCGTGTGAGGTGAGCGGCAGAAAACGACCCAACAAGCCTCGTTCCTTACCGCGGCCCCCCAGTCCGGCGATCACACGACTTTATTTTGTGTACTCCCTGACCCAGGACGTGATAATGTGCTTCCGCTTCCGGTGGCGCCTCGCTGCGCTCCGCCCCTAGCATCTTCCTCAGGGGCCTCGCGACACCATGGTCATGCGCAGGTCACCCTGGAATTCGTAGTTCGCTTTTCTCTCGTTTCACCAGTTTCTTCCTATCAGAGACTCTATCTCCCGGCGTTCATCGCGGCGCCCGACTCTTGGCGCTTGCGCGTTGCCCTCTTCCCCCACCTTCCCCAATTTCCACTCCCCCTTCCCCAATTTCCACTCCCCCTTCCCCACTTCGCCTGCCGTGATCAGGTCCGCGGCCTGCGCTGTAGCAGTCACCGGCGTTCCTTGGAAGCAGCAACTCCCCTCCCCCACCCTGGTCCCGGCCCCAATCCAGCCGGTGAGTCTGCGGTCGTCGCCGCGCCGAGTTCCCTGTTGCTGGGCGCGGCACATGGGGATCTCCGCACCTCGATGTGCGAGTGAAGTAGGAAGTGTCCCGGTCCGGCATTCAAAGAGGAAGGGGTGGCCTAAGGGGCAGAGGCGGGATGTTGAGACTCCCATGAAAGCGAGCTGAGGGCCATCCTCACGCTATGAGAAAAGGAGAGACTTACCTGTCGTTTGGAAGGGTTAAACTTCGGCACCCTTGGGAAAGGCGCCGAGACACAGAGACCTGCGGGAGTATGGAGGCCGAGCCACGGGCCCTACCAGAGTTCACACGAAGGGGACGGGGGCCTGGCCTTCAGGAGCGTCAGGGATGTGGGTAGGACTGGTGTGTCAAGACCTGTCGGTTTCCCGCAAGTGGTGTGACCCCAAAGAATTTCTAATCACGAAAAAAAAGGGGGCTGAGGTGTAAATAAGAGGAGCTAGAGAGCGGTGCTCCAGAGTCTGGGAATCCTTTAAAAAAGATGACCCCAAATTCCTCCGTGGTTGGAGGCCAGAGTATGGGAGGAGGAAGGAAACCAGTCAGGGAGGGAGATCTTGGGACATACTTACTCTTTCACCAGCTGACGTGAAGATGAGCAGCTCAGAGGAGGTGTCCTGGATTTCCTGGTTCTGTGGGCTCCGGGGCAATGAATTCTTCTGTGAAGTGAGTTCTCAGCCTCCTTTCTCATTTCCACGTATAGTCAGGCCAGATATTCTCCTACCTTTTGAGCTTCTACACACTTCTCGCATGCTTCCACAGAAACTTTTTCCTGTAAAGAGTCCTCTCAGTAACCCACCACTAACTTGTGGTAAAGTGGCAAGACTGGGACCCAACTCCCAACCCTGCCACCTTCCAGCAATGTAATGTTGGACAAGTCATCTTGTATCTTTTTTATTACTGGAGTGGTGGTATTGGTAAAATCTATCTCCAGTGACTATTAGGAGAATTGAAATACTGTACATTAAAACCTCCCTATGCAAAGCTGTGTGTTATCATAAGGGATATAATTGCCTTCAGAACCCATGTTCAGCCTCCACCTTTCTCAGAACCGTCTGCCTCTAAGGAGAGGACAAAAGTGGTTCCTAGAGATGGAGTGCAGAAGTAAGGACACAGATGTTAAAAGGAACTTCTCTTTAAGGAAGGGGTTGGTGTACCTGCTTATCCTTAAAAACAGAAGCCAAAGTTTTTATGGGAGGGGCAATGTGTGTGAACTGGGGAGAAAGACTCAAGTACTTTCTGCTACATTGGAAGTAGGGAACAGAAACAGTTGTGTTAAGGATAAGACATCAGTTAGAGCAACTTGCTCAGGTCAAAATCAAGGATTCTGTTATTGGTTCCCTCTTGACCTCCATATCCTGACAGGTGGATGAAGACTACATCCAAGACAAATTCAATCTCACTGGACTCAATGAGCAGGTGCCTCACTATCGACAAGCTCTAGACATGATCTTGGACCTGGAGCCTGGTGAGGCACCCTCAGGGTTGTTTTGTGTGTGTATGCTTTTTTCTCCCCCTTTAAATCCTTGTTCATCTGCTCCTTGAATTTCTGAATTTCCTTTTGGTTTTCTGACTCCCTTAACCCAAAATCCCCTATTTAATTTTGATTCCCCACCTGACTCTTGCTTAGTTTTGTGACTTTTGCCACTTGTTCCCAAACTCTGATCCTATAACTCAGCTCTGTGACATAATGCCAGTTTCCCCAGGGGTCTCATTTTTTCCTCTTTCTCCTGCCCTGCACTTTCCAGGCTAGAGTTTAATCTTCTGCGTTGACATCTTTGCTTTTATGTTTTGAGGAGGGAGTTGGGAGGGAAAGAAGAAAGCAGAGGCTGGAGAGGTATGGAGAGACGGTAGAGCTGCCTTGGGTTGGTTGAAGAGTCAGAATCCCAGTTTCCTGGGTTAAATTCCCACCTGATGGGTGGGGTAAGGTTCAAAGGTGGGTACTAGGCAAACTGAGTGGCCAGCAGCCCCTTGGGGATGGGCAGGGCACCTAAGAAAGCTATGATACAAGTGGTTACATTCAGCTGGGACCATGTTTCAGATGAAGAGCTGGAAGACAACCCCAACCAGAGTGACCTGATTGAACAGGCAGCCGAGATGCTTTATGGATTGATCCACGCCCGCTATATCCTCACCAACCGTGGCATCGCCCAGATGGTGAGGCCCTTCTGCTCACACTTGATTCCTTCTGAGGCAATAAGGAAAAACAGATTCTTGAAGCAAGATGTCACAAGTTTCAACCCTGTCAAGGAGTCTAGCTAAGAAGGGAAGAAGGATCTCAGAAGCTAGGCCTGGGAATTTAATTCTGATGGGTAGAGTGCTGAAGAGGGTGTTTTCAGCGAGGGAGACGTGACCTTGGATGGGAAGTTGTTATAGACTGCCTCTTCCTCAGGGAACAAACAGCGAATGGCTTTGATGGTATGCAGCCTGCCTAACTAGAAGAAAGGAAGCTGAGAAGTCCAAGGGCCTGTCTGGGCTAGAAAAGAGGCCTCTGGACAAAAAGAGACAGGAAGAATGGGGGACAGCGGTGTAGGTTGGGCAATGATGTGGGAGGGGATTTCCTCTTCACACCTACCCACCAATCCTTTCCATTTTATTCACCTCAGTTAGAAAAATATCAGCAGGGAGACTTTGGCTACTGTCCCCGGGTGTACTGTGAGAACCAGCCAATGCTTCCCATCGGTGAGTGTTGGAGAAGGGGAAGGAGGGCAGCATATGGTAGGTCCTCTGGGAAGGAGTTGGGACTCAGCAAGTTGGAGCCTGCGTCCGGGAGAGAGGTTGGGCAGGGTTTGGGGAGCCTGGTATACTGAGCCCGGCTGTCCCACAGGCCTTTCAGACATCCCAGGTGAGGCCATGGTGAAGCTCTACTGCCCCAAGTGCATGGACGTGTACACACCCAAGTCATCAAGGCACCACCACACAGACGGCGCCTACTTCGGCACTGGTTTTCCTCACATGCTGTTCATGGTGCACCCTGAGTACCGGCCCAAGCGGCCTGCCAACCAGTTTGTGCCCAGGTGGGGAACAGGGACAGAATCACCAGGGGTCACAGGAAAGGCCCAGGACCCCCAGAGAGAAGGGAGGACGGGGCATGGTCCTTTCTTGAGGTCTACTCCCAAAGCCAGGGCTCTCCCTGCTGAGGGATCGTGGGAAAGTGCTTTGATTGCCTATACCTCAGTTTCCTTATTCATAAAATGGGGATGATGATAGTACCTACCTGCCAAGATATTTTTAAATATGTGAAGTACTTAGAATAACATTTGACACCTGAAGCACCACTTAAACAATAACTGTTCCTGCCACCATCTTGGGTCTTCAGCCTTTGCCAGGAGATCCTCAGAGCCACGGTTCAAGTGTGCTTTATCTTCCTTGAGCATCATTTTTACTCTGGTATGGGGAAGAAAAGTTCAGTTTTACATTAAAACAAGTACTAATGCAGACATCTGTATACTTACATACAAATCTTAGATTTGAGTTTTAATGAATATTTAAGATACTCTCCCAAATATTCTTGAGGAGAGGAGTTTGGGAACCACTGTTCCTCAGCAGAGATGAGGCCTGTGGAGGAGCTGGAAGTGGGAATGCAGGCTGCTGACAGGGCTGCCTGGGGCTCACCCCACTGTCTCTTTGACCTCTGCCCCGGTCCAGGCTCTACGGTTTCAAGATCCATCCGATGGCCTACCAGCTGCAGCTCCAAGCCGCCAGCAACTTCAAGAGCCCAGTCAAGACAATTCGCTGATTCCCTACCCCACCTGTCCCTCAGTGTCCTCATTCTTTGACACCTCCATTCCTTTGCTGCCACCCTTTCAGGAACCCTCTATGGTTTTTAGTTTAAATTAAAGGATTCATTATTGTGGTGGGAACATGAAATAAAGTGGAAGAAAAGGCCATGAGTTGGTCTGCTGGTGCTTGGGGTTAGGGAAGGGAGGGTATTGGGGTGCTGGACGCCAGGGGTCCTCATGGCCCAGCCCACCCTCCCCAAGTTGAAAACCAGCACAGATTTGTGCCCAGTATTTGGGTGATGTTTTTAGTAGTAGAACAGAATTCCTAGGATTGGGTTCGGGAGTGTACAAAGTCAAGGAAAAGATGCAGAGAAAAATCAGATTTCAATGTCTAGAGAAATAGTTGTTTTTTGGGGGCCCACTTTCGGCTGTTGGGACACAACACTATCTTTTCACTTATTTTTACAGGGACAGTGGTTAGAAAATAACTACAAGTGGTGGAGAGAGGAGGAAAAGGGACCAGAATTGCTGCTCCATAGTGTTTATGCGCCCCCTGCTGGGGCATCTGAGACACGCTCATTTCGGATGGAGCTGCTGAGTTCCTGGCCAAAGTTCCTCCTAGCACAATAGGGACTGGCCCTGTTGTGTGGGGAGAACGCAGGTGGTGCCAGAGACAAAAGCTAATGCATGGATCTTTGAGGGGCAAGAATAGATCTTCAGGAGGCATGCAGGGCAAAGGTGGACAGCTAGGTAAAGCCCAAGTATTGCCCATGTCTCAGCCATTACTCCCACAGTCAGGAACTGGACCTCATGACTGAGGACACACTGTTCCTCCTGTCAAGTTAATAACTTCCTCTCCCAGCCTGGATCCTGCCCCGGGCAAGAATATATTTCTCTACCCATGGCCCCTCCTGCCCAGACTCTGCCTGTCAAAACCAGCTTGCAGCTCAGGATCAAGGGCACTCCTCAGGGACTGCCTTCTCCCTAGAATTCCATAATGAAGGCCCATATGTTTGTAGGTGTGCTGGTCATGGTGGGCTACACGGTGGGAAAGGGTAAGTGGGGGCCAGGGGCAGGAAGGAAGGCGGTGGGGCCATGACCCTAGATACATGAGCTCCCTGCAGGGCAGGGAACTTGGAGTGAGTCAATGCCTCCATCCCTCCTGTCTTCTGCTTCCTCAGCTCCTGTTCCTGAAGTCCGGACCTGCCACCTCTGCCTCTTAGAAGACCCTTCTGTAGGATGCATTTCAGGCTCAGAAAAGTGCACCATTAGCAACTCATCCCCATGCATGGTGATCACCATCTATTATGGTGAGTTTAAGACTGAGGAAGGGGCTGCTGGTGGGATAGTCCATTGCTTAGTCTCTTCCCTTCTCCTGGATGAGGGCCACTTGGGGCCTGGGGCACAAGAAGGAGGCAGGAGGATATTGGAAGGAGGGGTCCGGTGTTCTGAGGGGCCAGCTAAGCTAATTTTCTGACCCCTTCAGAAGGAGTCTGGTATTAGAAGTATGGTCTGGTGAAGGGTGGAGAAAGTCCATGGTAGGGATGCCAAGTTCGGGGACTATGGGAGGCAAAAGGGGTTATTATGTGTCCCCTTTCCTCTAGATACCAAGATTCGCTTCTTCATCCGAGGCTGTGGACAGTACAATTCTTACCACTGCCAAGAAAAACGCAACACTTACTTTTCAGAGTATTGGTACCAGGCCCAATGCTGCCAGTACGATTATTGCAACTCCTGGTCCAGCCCCCAGCTCCAGAGCTCCCTGCCTGAGTCCCACGACGGGGCTCTGGCCCTGCCCCTGTCCAAGTCCCAGATCCAACGGTTCTACCAGGCCCTGAACCTCTCACTGCCCCTCCCCAGCTTCTGTGCTGGGAAAGAGCCTGAAGGCTTGGACCCTGTGGTTGCCCTGCCCTTGAACCTAGGTTTGTCTATTGCTGACCTGCGCCAGATATACTTATTCCTCAACAATTCAGGACTTTTGGTTCTTCCCAGGGCTGGGCCCTGACCCCTTACCCTTCCTGGATTCCAGTCTGTTCCAGCATCTTTCCAACACCGCAGCATCCTACACTGCCCTCTCAGAACATCTAAATTCTCTGGTCTGTTTTCTCAGACCTCCTTTCCTTAGTACTTCTAGTATCTTTATGACTTCGGTTTAATTTCCTCCCCAGAAACCAGTTGGCACTGTACCTAGTGCTCTTATTCCTCCTAGAAAATAATCTCAAGTGCAGATTGTGCCCAGGTTGACCTGGGAAAGGCAGTGGTCTCCTTATTCCTTTTCCATTGTCTGCGTGTTTCATCACCCTCAGTCCCCTCTCAGTCTGGGTACCTGCCACCTCCTTTTAGATCTGGCTGTATATTGCATCTTGTACCTATCTCTAGGACTCAGTGCCAGACAACTTGCAGCAAGAAGGATGAAGGGTAGACTTCTGTGCAGATTGCCTGACTTGGCATCCTGGTATTTCTGCCTCACTATTTTACCACCTCACTCCTGCCCTGGTCTCCTGCTGCCTTCTCTCATCTCTTGTCCCAGTCTCTGGCTTCCAGCCCCACTTCATGTGACTGAGTCCTGACAGCCACTTCCATAGGTGCCCAGGAAGAGGAGAGTATCTGTCTTGCTCTGCTCTATTTCCCTCCACAATAAACGGTCTGGGTTAAGTCTGTGTCACATTGTTTATGGGGTCAGACTCAGATGTGGGCAGGTATAGACAGTTAAAGAAAGTTAATTGGGCATGGCATTTAAACGGTTATAGAGCCCTGCCCACTCTGCTTGGCCTTTGTGGCTTCCTTGTAGCCTGCACCAAAGGGCCCACATCCATCCCACCCGCTGCTCAGCTAGAGATCAAAGCAGGGTAGTGACACCAATCAACCTTAAACATACCCAATGAAATCGAGAAAGTTAAACCCAGGTGACATCAGGTTTTTCCACCTGAGAGAGGAGGGAAAACTCTTTAAACCAAGAAAACTCAGGAGCAAACCAAAGAGTCTAGGTCTGCATCTAAGTCACCTGGTACTAAGAGACCTGAGTTCCTGTCTATCCATTCTTTTCAAGATCCTGGTACCCAGGACCCCATAGTGGGGGCCTTTCATTTATATATATATACACGTATATATATATATATACGTGTATATATATATATATGTATGTATGTATGTATGTATTTTTTTTTTTAGAAACTGCAAGCATGCTGAAAGCAATAATGAATTGTCATAACTCCCTTTCTCGTATATTGAATAAAATATTAGACACAAACTGCTCTGCACCAGGACTCACGTTACGCACCAGGATTCAGATGGC